ACGTAAAACCCAATTTCACCTCACCTCACCTCAATATTGAGCCCCGGTCAACTTATTATATTTAGTGGAGAGGAAATCTAGTGCTACCAAATCATTCTGGATTTGAATTTCACTTGGATTTTGTTAATGTGTTCTCGAGAGTCTTGGAGAAAGACTACATAGTGTGTAAATAACAATTTGAAGTTACAATCAATTATAATTAAGTCATTTTACTTTTCATTCAAACAGTACGACAAGCCACATACACATGTAGAGAAAAAAGAAACCAAAAGAAAAACTAACATGAAAACTGACAAAATATTAATTAATAAACAGTTGATTTATGTACCATCTGTTTCGCACACCATGTGCTCAAACAGTCATAATGTTTAAACCATCATGTAAGTAATAGATAAACCGTATAACCATCTAATGAACATCACATAAGTCGGTCTTACTCTCAGAAGCTTTAATTCATTTACCACTTCTGTCGTTCAAGGCTTCCGAGTCTGCCATGGAATACAATAACAGGAAAATGTCAGAAGTCTCATCATCCGACGTATAATATATGAATGATAAACTAGGGTTTGATCCACAGATATAACACCCTCAAGATGATTCGACCTGACACTGACTCTGCGCCCTTCCGTCTGGGAAAATGCTACAGAGATCTAGCAGTAATGGGGGTTTTGACGAGAGGTTCCGATGTTTGGTAACAGGGTTCCACAGTTGTGGAACCGAGACGAGTGATTATTTAGTCAGGTGACTAGATATGGAGGCTGGTGTTTATACTCGGGCGATGTACATGCTTCTCGAAGCCTGTATTATTTCTCTAAGGGAAGAGCTAACAACCCTGAAGCGACCAGCTAACACCCGAAAGCAGCCACCTGGTCGATTGAATTTTAAATTTGCAATTTTGCAAACAGAAAAAAAAAAATCCTTGAGGCAAAAGCAGTATGGAATTACGTATTAAAACATTATTTCAGCTGCCAGTGTGATAAAGTTATGAAAGAGTTGAATTCAAACACTGACACGGTATCTCAGATTTCTTTTATAGTCTATTGAAATGATCTTAGGACGTATTACAGGATGAAAATGGTCATAAAAACAAGACTTGGCTTCAGTGTACTGTCACCGAGAAATTCTTCAAACCGGGCTGTTTTAGGATCAAGGAGGCATTATCTCGTCAACATATTGAACATGCATCTTGTTTCTGTCCATCTAATCTGAAATGAATCGTCGAGGAGAGTTTACGCCTCTTAGCAATATCCCAGGACCATTACAGCAGGGGATATCAAGAATGGGCTTAACGATGTACACCATGCCACCACAAGGAATCGGCCTTCGATATGGCTTACATGGTTTGTATACCATGGTGGAGGTAGTCTGTCAGTCCCCGAACACCATTATTTCCCCTACTGCCTAACCCTTGCAATGCTAAAGCCCTAAATGTAACAAAGCTAGAATTCCTCGGGTTCTGAATATCCCGTCTAACTGAGGCTCCTTTTCAATTTAAATGGGATTATTAGTTACTATAACAATTATATATATGTATTCAGAGACTAAGCGTTTGTTGTGGAGGAGGCGGTGGTGATTTCTCTTTGTACAAAGAACGCATCAATGTCTAGCTCATGTTCCAATAACTGTCTCCATCCACCATCCTTTCAGAAAGAACTCTCCATCACACTGAAATATCTGACACCTCAAATGCTTCTGTAACAAACCGTGCGGTTCCTTTAGAATTTCACTAAAGTATGGAATGTGGCCTGTCTCAGCTTCCTGGTGTAAGTTTTGGATTAGTTCTGTTTTAGTTTAAAAAATGATGATAATGGTCTTCCTTGTATTGACTAAAAGACAGTTGACGATTGAAATCAGAGGTTAAGAGTTAAGTCAGAAAATCTGCAGATTGAAAATTAAGATTTGGGACGTATTGTTGATATCCAAAGTTCATTTAAGCTGCTATACTGAAAGGAATTCGATGCTTTTCCTTTCTTAATCGAAAATGGCCTCCGTAGAAGCAATATTGAAAACTAAAGAAATACTTCTGCCAAATTTTCAGAAACTACTGTGTCATAAAACACATTGTATTATTGCATATATGAGACAGTTTGTATTGCAGTTTGGTCTTTACAAAGATAAAAGGCCCAAGAAATTTGTCTTATATATTTACAAACGTTCCTTGAATATTTACTACAAGACATGAAACAGTGTTCTTCGCCCCAAGGATTGAGCATTGATCAGAGAGACGGTCCTCCAAACATGTTGGTGGTCTAGTTCTTCTACCCAGATCACTCACTCTTAGCTTAGTGAAGTGGGCACGGAGATATTTATTTATCAAATGTGAAACAGTTTGTATTGCACTTTGGCCTTTAAACCCTAGGCCGTAATCTCTACAACAAGTTGTTGACGTTAATTTGAATATGCGTGTATAAATCAGCTTGTGAGTTACATCACGACAAACGACCTTAAGTAAACGAAGCTTTTCCTTGTTAAATGTAACTCCTTACTGACATCCCTTTAGAAACTGATTCTGAGAAGATATCAAGAACCATAATAGGTGTCAATATCGGATTCAAACTCCTATATTAACACCCATCCCCAATCGTTGCTATGATAGGGCTTCACACAACCCATGTTGGGTATCGAACCGGGGTCTTCGGCGTGGCGAGCGAACGCTTTAAGCACTAGCTACCCCAACGCCCCTTTGTCGGACACAGGGTATTTTTCAGTCGGCGCTTCAAAACGTATTGTTCATCAATTCTAAATGCACAACACATTATCTTTATAACATTATTTGTGTGCTGCTAACATTATTTCGCGTAAAAAATCGCAACATTTTCAACACTGGGATATGATTATTTTTATATATTTCAACAAAAGCACCTGAATCCACTCCCTGTTAGAATATAAAAGGATCCACCCGCTGCTTTGTACTGACCGTGGAGTAAAGAGGCTTAATCTTATAGAAGCCATGTCATCGGATCTCTTCGAAGTTCCATGTAAGTAAAGTAACCCCATAATTCCTTATATGTGACTTTTCAAGGATATCTGATGTTTCCGAAAGAGTACGGACATATGCCTATCTTTGAACTTCATCATATTGCCAGTGAGTACCCTTCCGGATTGTGGGAAGTTTTTATGCAAATTCCATTTGTCATAATATTGTTCCACTGATAAGGATCACCGACAACCGTTAAGTTATTTCCCCGACATCACTATCGTTTCGGAAGACTGTAACTGTTTACACGAGGTGTTCCCATCAAGACGCCATCTTCCTTTTCATAAACTACCTATCTGAGAATCACCTTGTAGAAGCAAAACACTCACAAGCGGTTATTCTCTTCAAAAAAGCGTCATATCACTGGTTCTGTTTACCGACCCACCCACTTCGCAAGGGCTTCCAAGAAACTGTCACTGTACAGATATTTTCACTTTCTTTGTTCAACGAAACATGATTCGTATTTAATATATACCTCCCGTACAGCGATGTTTGAAGTGATATCGCTCCGATAACCATCTGGCTTAGTTTAGCAATACAAGCCCCTTGCCCTCTCTCTGTGACCAGCGTCCCGTGCTGCGGTACTCGCCGACCCAGAGAATGTCCACAGATCCAAATGTCATGACTCGGGTCATTATGAATTGGCTTGTGCGTATAATTGGTTACAGAGCACGTTTATTTGTGCCTTCAAGTAGTTCCTTGAGGCGACACATCCCTGACCTATACACGGTGGTATACGAGAGTTCTGGCTTCTTTTCAGTTACTCCACAATCCTTCTGGGTCAACCATGAACCAGGTCTCTAACATAATGAGGGCGGCAGTTGAAAACTAGCACGGTAATTAACATGTAGGCTATATTTAACGTCGTTTTCTAGAGTTACACCAAATGTATTTTTTACGAGAACTTAAGGTTGCTATATTAACAGCCTCTTTCGTGTTTAATGTTTGCATTTCCTTTGAAAGGGGTTAAAGTTTACCATCAAAGTATGACTCACTTGTTGTGTTGACCCTTTGTGTTAAACACCTGGTGTCAACACTGATTTTTTGTGATAAAATTCAAATAATTGTCATCGATATTTTGACCCCAAGGAATTTGTTTTTGTGGAGACTGGTTACTCACTGGCGTTGACGTAATGAATTTACAGTGAGTGAGTTTAGTTTTACGCCGCTTTTTGCAATATTTCAAGAATATCACGGCAGGGGAAACAAGATATGGGCATCGAACCCGTTGACGAGCCAACGCTTTAACAACTAGGCTATCCTACGGAGCCTAAATTGACAATCAAAACCCATCACCAAACCATGCAAGTTAGTATGGTTAGTAAAGCCAGTGGTCAACAACGTGAGCTATGTGTGGTGGTGACCATTGACACAGGCTACCCGGGAACATTATATCATTAGGACCGGCAGTACCGGACCCTTGTCGTAGTCCCGTCATCATGTACAAGGAATAGTGCTGAGTGCAGCGTTAATCAGAAAACAGAAATCTCATTTCTCGATAAACCGAACTAGTTCGACATAACAGTTGTTCACTGTTTCAGTTCACACTGTACTACTATTTTAGACTGGTCCAACTCGAATATCAAGAAAACTCTGAATGACTTCGAAATTGAAAATATCCCTGTTTCAGAGGAATCTATGATGTGGTGTAATCCAAACTTCAAGAATGGTATGACTTCGACATGCAAGTATTGGCTGTGCCAGTGTTATTTCCACTCAACGCCTCATAGAATTAACATCAACTGGTCTTTAATGAAAAATCGTTATATCTTGCCTTACTTCCACAACACACATATGGGGCGGTGGGGTAGCCTAGTGGTTAAAGCGTTCGCTCTTCACGCCGAAGACCCGGGTTCGATTCCCCACATGGGTACAATGTGTGAAGCCCATTTCTGGTGTCCCCCTCCGTGATATTGCTGGAATATTGCTAAAAGCGGCGTAAAACCATACTCACTCACTCACAACACACATACGTGTCTTAGCCGAAGGTTCTCTCACGTTAAAGACAAACAAACAAACTATGTATGGTCATTGGTTTTAATCATGCATGTTCCCACAACATCCATACCTCGATAAAACAAAGGCACATATTTCACATATAATTCGTTATTACTGGAAATGCATCGTGTTGGAATAAGACGGTGGTTGTTGTTACATGTAGATGGCTGATCCATGCAGTGAAGGTATTGCAGCAACACCATACAGGCTGATATGATTGGTCAATATAGTCATGAGGACTTTATGTGATTGGTCCAGTAAGTGACCTTCGATATCATCTGGTCCAATAAGTGATGTTTGACGTCATGTGATTGGGCCTACGAGTAATTTTTCACCTGATGTGATTGGTCCAATAAGTGATCTTTGATGACATGTGATTGTTAAAATGAGTGTTGTCTGACGTCATGTGATTGGTCCAATTGGTGAGTTTTGATGCGATGTGATTGGTCCAGTTATGATGCATGACGACATGTGATTGGCCCAATAAGCTATGTGATTGGACCCCGAAGGAATAGTGATATAATGATGTCAGACAATTAGTCCTAATAATGTCGGCGGTTAACGTAATTGTTTTGCAATGTCCAAAAATATCACAAGGGAGAACACAATGAATGGACATCACACATGTGTGGACTCGAACCGTGACGGGCGAATACTTTATCCGCTACCCTATCCCACCGTCCAGATAGGATGCGATATAGTCACATGATTATGATGGTGATGATGTGAAATGATTTCATCATGTTGTGATGCGGGAAGTATATGATGTTCATGATGGCGTTACATGCAGTCGAGGGAATAGCAAACACAAGAAACACCACTCATCGCTGCACGTAAGGCCTTCTTCATGACACCTGGCTGACGGATTAATTACCGAAATTAAAATATTTTTTCGTGATATCTGAAAAACATTATCGGGGGCAAATTAAGAAAACTTAAATAAGAAAATATTAACAAAAATGTTAATCCTAAAGTAGTAGTAATCGTTGTGTTCATGGCGAGCTTTAGTCGTAAGGAGGCGTCTAAAATGTTCACAAAAACAATACTGGCTTCTCAAAGGTGTACTTTTCTTTTCATTACTGAAACTAGTTATTAAAATTGCAAGGCAACATTTCTGTAATGGTCAATTAATAGGACATCACATTTGATGCGCCAAATTTGGCAACTTTAGTTTAGGTCCGTATTGTTGTAACACTCTCGACGAACTAAAATTAACATATTAGGAAAAAGTTTAGGAAAAAGGGTCCGAAAACCAGGTAATAAAGAAAACCTTAGACACAGAAACACAAAGGAAGCCTGGTAACCAGACGTATAGGTAAAAAGTCGGTAAAGCACAAAGATCTCACACACTATTCAGAAACACGTACACACCACAATAGGTCCTAGCACATCCATGGCTATTTACATCTATGTACAGATATTGCACATCAAGTGTCCATGTCTACATTCTGGGGTAAGACTCTCAAACGTCCTCGGTGGGATATTCCTACATAATTCATCTATCGATCACTGTCGATCTGGGTCACCACGTAGATGATGGTCATCACTGTTGATGCTGTTGTTGATGCTGGTGTTGACGACTGACCCCAACATGACCGTGCTGATGAGGTAGGGATGGAAGGCTGAAAGGTCACCGTTAAGTGTTACTCATCTCAACTGTTCTCTGTCCTTGCATAGAAAGTCATCCTTTCTATTTCATATCACTTCTGCTATCAATAAATAACAGGCGTGCCCTGTCTTAAACAGCATCTGAGTGCTCCCAACTGTCTTCCGTTCTACAGCACCTGCAGCAGCAGCAGGTCCGGACCACCTTCCTCAGGAGATGCTTAGCATCCCGCCGGAAACTAGCGTTCAGGAAGCTGTAGATGACCGGGTTAATGGCATTGTTAATGAAGAAAGATTTTACACAGAACTTGTATGCTACCTCTCCGGTGGGGGACAATCTCCCCTCGAAGTCTTTGATGATGCTTCTGAGAACCATGACGATGAGGAACGGGAGGAAGCTGAGGATGTAGGCCAGAGTTACAGCAAACAGAACTGTTGTGGTTTTGCCCACTCTCATCTTCTGACGTTGCTTCAGCGTGTCTTTCCCCAGTGCTGGCATCGCTTCCTTTGTATGTTGGTCCTTGTGGGAACCGTGTTCGTCAACTTCTGACGACACCTCGGTCGACGTGGGGTCGGAGACCTGGCTGTTGATGCCCGACTTGGACACGGCGATCTTGGCGCCGATGGTGGTCTTCTTCCTCCGCCAGATGACAATGCCAATGCGACTGTACAGCACGACGAAGAAGGTGACGGTGATGAAGAAGAGGGTGAAGAGGAAGCCGTAGTAGAGGGTCGGGTACATGGTTCCTTTAGCCCAGTCAGCCGTGGAACAGTCAATGCCTTCAACACCAGGAATCCCGAAATGGATGGTCTCCCTTCCAAACAGAAGACATGAAGGCCATGAAGTGAGAATTCCAAGCGAAATGGCCAAAATGCACAGCATCTTCGCCTTCTGGACACTGTATTGCCGCCCGAGTTTACAGATCCGGAAATATCTGTCAAAGGCCACCTCGATGAGGATGCACGATGAGGCAATGATGGTTGAGGAATGGACAAATCGGAGGAGTTTACACGCTGCGGGGGCGTAGAACATGTATGGGTATCTGAGGTCAGCGATCTCGGTGGGGATGCCGATGACGCAGCTGAAGAGGTCGAGGATGGCGAGGGAGAGGATGAAGTAGTGGGACGACGCCTTGTACGGCTTGCTCCAATACACACAACACACAAGGATGTTGCCGAACGTCCCCACGACGACCAGAATGATGAGGAAGACGATGACAGGGATGTAGAGAAATGCTTTAGCGTCGTTGAGACGTTGCAGAATCTCATTGGTGTCGTTCCGGAGGATGAGGTGAGAGATCTCTTCACGAGCAACCAGGTTAGCCATTGTTAGAGGACTGCCGGAGATTCTGAAATGACCAAAAATGTTCAATATAGTATCATATATGATGATGAAAATAGTGATGCTGCTGATGGTGAAGATGATGATGATGATGATACTGATGGAGAAAGATGGTGAGTTTAACCAAAGTTAACACCGCTTAAACATATCCTCTACCGCTTTGATGTATCCCATCAGCAAGGTATGGTGCCCATAAACCACGGATCACTATCAGGAACATCTGGGATCGAACCCACTGACGACTGACGAGGTATCTAGTGACAGCACAGTGTGTTAGTGTGGTTGGTGTTACACCACTGATTCCTGCGATATTCATCAGTGGGTTTCATTCATTGTACCGGGTAGACTATGAAAAGCAGAAGCTATATATTGAAATATTCCCAGTCATCACCGGACTCACAAGTGGTGGTGGTGGTGGTGGAATTGGGTTTAACGTCGAGCTTGAGAATATTTCGCTCATATAACGACGTGCATGCGTGTGTATGTGTATGTGCGGCTGCTTGTACTAGCCCAGACTGAAGCTGGTTTTATAGTGCTAGCCCAATGAGATACCGTGCCACACTGAAGCATGAATACCTCATTCAGACACTCCGAGCCGACCAGTCCTTGTTGTACCCATTAATGCCGAGCGCCAGGCAGGGACCAACAAGTACCATATTTTAACGTCTTTTGGTATGACGCGGTCGGGGATCGACCCGCGACCTTCCGCACTCCGGGCGGACGCTCTAACCGCTACACCACGGAGGCGGTCACACAAGTGGTTAGATGACCACAAATGACCATGCGCTAATTGAAAATGTACCACGGAGTAAGTATGTGCACATAATGCAGTTATTGAACGGAGAATTCAACCGAAACGGAAAGTGAATTATAATACACTTTTTTTAGTGTGATCCGCCTGAAGAAAGCAACCACCATAGTTTTAAATTTCAAATTTTCAAATTTAAAACATAATTACTATTATGAATTAGTGTAATTAGAAATGATATTCGACAATAATTAGAATCTTGACCGGTCCAAAACATGAGATATACCTATATACGTCTAGACTTTGGAGCTGAACGTTGGCTGGATTGTGCTGATAGATGTGACCGACAAGCAGGACGGCAAGAACGTCAATACAAAAAACATATAACAGTAAATGGGGTTAAAAAGTAAATAGATATTCAGCCAAGTTTATTCAAATATGAAAAAATAAAGTAAACTTATTTCAAGTATTTCATGTTACATGTAAACACTTCCAATGCGGGCATACATCATTTCTTTTACAAGAATTACCACAAAACTTTTTTATTGCTGTTTTTTCCCCGCAACTTCACTACATTTTACCCTTGACTTGCCACGCGTGTAAAATACCCCATGTCTATTCCATGGCGCGAAACAGACCCCCCAAATATCTGTGAAGGAGCGACGACCCGGGACGATTTGATGACTTTTACAGGCCCAGGATCCAAACCATCCCCAATAATACTCAGCAGAATGTGTGGGGGAACCCCCCGGGTACTTGTTATTTGGAAAACCCGTGAACCTTAAAAAACGTTTAAATGTCATTTATAGCTTCTACCACCATCTTTCACTATATCTATGTTTCTGCTTTATCGTTTTCGGAGACTCTAGCTGTGCCTGGTACAAGCATGACATCTTAAGTGCCACTTGAATGTTTTTATCGACATCCATTTTCCCCAAGTCGCTAGTTAATACACAACTGTTATTTTCTCAGAGTCTCCTGGAACCTCGTCCCTCCCGATGTTTACATGCTTGTTTAAGATTACGTTTTATTGTGTAGTTAAAACAAAGTCCTGGTTTCCGATCCCAAGAGTATGTTCTCGCTATTATTCCAACCTCTCGGATTGTTTTCAAATTGCATGTATCGGAGGTCGAAGATGTGTTGTAGACACGGAAAGATGACGCTAAAATGGCAGAGTAAAGTTAGCAAAACATATTAGAGGTCAACAACACAGCAAGTAGAAATTCTTATCACCGGCAAAGTGTTTCAAAACAGATCCTCACTCCGCGGTAATTGAAAACAGTCTGCAAAAACAAAGGGTTTATGCTGGAGTCTTTGAAAGCCGCGCGACTCTCCTAAACCTGTGTTTTTCACTTTGTCAGTGTGTGGATGCAAAATATTTTTGTTTTTCAATTATTTTATTGCGTTCTTGTAAAGCACAATAAACAAGATAGCTGCTTCACTCATCTGTAATGATTATCAAGATAACACATGTTACAGATTCTATAACTTGTGAAAAAGGCGATGGCTGAGTGGGTTAGATGGCTGGCAGGGTACCTGACCGGAAGTCTGGGTTCGATTTGGTTGATGGGACGCAACCCAACACAGGTACTAGAATTTGTACTTTACTGAGAAAGTGTAATCCCAAATATAGCACCTGTTATATTTGACTACTTTACTGTATGTGTTTTTAACCATGTGTATACACAGATTAATAATAAGTGATGAAGTGCGATGGGTTCCACGATGCTTTCAGCAAAGTTTCAGCAACGTTATTTTTATTTTATTTATTTATTTATTTTGGGGGGTGGGGGGTGGGGGGGTTTCCATAGATTAACACAGTATATCAGTAGAGCTAATGGCCGACATACTTTTATAGAATTCAAGTATATTCTTTGGGCGGTGGTGTTCGCTCGTCACGCCAAAGAGCCGGGTTCGATTCCCCACATGGGCACAATAGGTGAAGCCCATTTCTCGCTAGGAGCGGCGTAAAACCTTACTCATTCTTTATACTTTAACCCTAAATAAGTGAATAAAGAGGACGCAATACATACGTCCCTACTATTTTCATTGATACAGCTTCTATTATGTTGTTCAAAGGTGCGGAAAAAGTTTACCTTGACATCGTGACTGGGTTTTCGTTTTGACGGGAACCACTTGGTTATGCACCAACTTTCTGGTATTTTAGGACTTTGAACATGCATTTTGTGTTATCTCACGTGACAAATAGCTACATCTAATATTAAAACTGTATTTCATCGTCCAAACAGCCATGGTATGGCTGTGTTATCTGGCGTGGAGCATCGCAAGCATATTGCATGACTTCTTTTGTTGGTCCACTTGGTGTAACATGAGGCAATGTTTCTTTGTAAAAAGGGTAATTAGTTATATGTGTATTGATATTAATATAAAGTGTTCGTGGACAAAAATGTCAAGCTTGCTGGAACCAGAGACCATTTAATAGATCTATTATATAGTCTCTTCTGGAACTGCCAATATCCCGAACCTCGTCTCCCAGTCATAGACGTGTGACAGATAATGACCTTAGACGGAGGCTGGACAATGGCGATTTGGCCACTGTCAGCAGCTTGGGTTTCCCCTCGAAATGAAATCACTTGTTTTTCTGGGTTATAGATATCCCTCAAGACATGATTTCCCTGAGGTTAGTAAGGCTCAGCAGCTTTAAATATTATACAGTATTTTGTCAATTGTCGGAATAAAAGGCATTGGTCAAATATGACCTGTCACTGTAAAACATATCTAAAGACAATAACATTATTTTTCAAAACAATATGACCTGTCTCTTCTACACAGTTGCAGCAGCGAGGTCGGCTTTCACGGATTTGAAATCTTGTCACTTTTAATGTCGTACCTTTCATCTGAATTATTTCAAAGTATTAAATCTGAGATGACAATTGACTGGTAAACTCTGACTCGATGTATTTTCCTCACTTTCTTATACTGCTTGGTCGCTGCGGGTCCGAGGGTGGACAGGATGCAATTCCTAGTATGACGCTTTGAAAAATATTCTGTTACCATGGTATTGATGCATTTTTCCTGAAAATTGTTTTTTTGAACCAAGTATTTGGGGTCTTGGTGCTTCAAGTGTGATCGCGTGCCTTGAGTCATCGTTCACTGACGGATCATTTAGATCAACTACAAGATAAATATACAGACAGCTATGTGATTCCAGTGTCTTGCTCTTTCAAAAATAGAAATTGAGATAAGGGTGTAGACGCAAATTTCCCCAGGAAATATTTCAAAATACGTTTCTTCATTCTATCATGGGTTTTAATGAAATCTCACGAGTTTTAGTTTGCGAGAGACGATAAGAATGTATTAAATGTACAGTCAGCACTGGATGCCTCACACAGGCGACAGTCTGTAAGCTGATGGGGGGAGATCTTCTCTTCTGAAGCTCACAAGTCTCGTGCTGATAATAGAGGCTGCAACACGACAAGAATCTTGATACACTAAGGGTTTGTTCTGCTTTGTACACTGCAGCCGGTTTGTCGTCTGCGTATTACTACTTGTCATCTGCGTGTTACTACTTGTCGTCTGCTTGTATCAGGTTGGGTAATGGTGCTGATATAAGTTCGGCCTACTCATCCTTTCTTTGTTCCCGTGGAAACAGTGTCTGCCCGAAGACATAAAGGTCTGTAGTTCTATCACCCTAGTCTGTCTCACAGTCCCTGAACCACATTATTTTCCCTACTGCCTAGCCTCCCTGCAACGCTAAAACCACAAATGAAGTAAGTCTAGATTTCCCAAGGATCAGGGTATTGGGTACGTTCTGTATTTTGACCTTGTTTAGGGTACATTTCTGTACACAGAAACCTGTATGTAGACCCCTTCAGCGTTTATTTTCCCTTCCCGACCTGTAATGCAAAAGCTTTTAATGAAGTAAGTCTAACTTCTTTGGCATTTAGATGTTGGTGTGAATTACTAGTCCACATTTCCTCAGAATCAGTGTGAATCTTTCACACCTCACTGGGGCTCCTTTCAATTCAGATGGGTGTATTTGTTATTATCAATATTTTTTAATTATATATTTTCAGGGACTAAGCGTCAGTCTACTATTACCCTTGAAGATCCACATCTATAACTGTTCCCATTATCTGCTTTAATCAACAGTGCCAAACCTCTTTAATACATTCCTTTCCACTAAGTTTCGATGCTAATTGAAAGCGTTGTTTTTCATAATCTGTATTGGTTACTGATTAATATAGTACATAAATTCCCCAGTCATGGTTCAGGACTTAGCCAACACGTCATGTTCT